CAATCCTTCAAGGCCCTGGGTGATTTATATTGGGCTGTATTAACTACTTTCTTTGGGTGCTAAGGTCCCTGGGTCCCAATTTGTCAAGCCAATTTGTAAGTGGCAGAGACTTCATTTAATTTTAACTCTGATCACTTAGCTCTGATCATTGGTTCAGAACTCCTCAGCTCACTATGGGATATTATATGAGGATGGGTGTTATGACCATGGAGAATTTAGGCAGGAACACGGTTCTGATGGCTAAAGATGAAATACTTGTCCTATTTGTCCTCCATATTATATTCTTTAACACCCCTAAGATCATCAGGGGCACCTTAAATTTAGTGGGTTCCCAGGTGGAACTGTAATATGACACCTAGCACCACCTGGGTTGGGAGCCTCCCCTATAACAACTGGGCTTAAGTCAGGTTTGAACTAATCCCTTGTGTCACAGGGGTGCCATGGGTGTTGTCCCCTGCAACCCTGAAGGTCAGGATCGTTGTGGCAGTAGAGGCAGGGGCAGCAGCAGAGGAACTGAAGCGGCCTGGGGAGCCCTCTGGTGTCAGGAGTGTGGACTCAGCCTGCCACCTACTGCCTGCCTTTCCCCTCGCTTCTCTTTTTCTTTAAGTGACAGCTCTTTCAAGAGTGACCATGTGATGGACCCACCTCTTGCAAAGGGTATAGTCCCTGTCTACCCCCATCCCTGGAGTATGTCAGGATCCACCCAGCCTGTCACAGCTTCACTCTAACACACGTGTTTCTAACCACCAGAAATACGACCCAGGACTCATTTAAGGAGGCCCCAATCCATAGTCCTGTAACCGAAAGTTCAGTCTCTGAACCCGATGCCAATGCAAATAATGAGAACAGAGTCTTGAGTGGAAGAGGAAAGGTTTTTACTATGCCAGGCACAGGGAGCAAAGCAAGGGCTCATGCCTCAAAAATTGCTAGCTCCCGGATGGGGAATGGGTAGGGATTTTTATTTGGGGTTTTGGGTAGGGGAGGGGGGAACATGTAGCTTGTGCAGCTCGGTGCTTTCCCACCAGCCTGCGTTTGGCCTTGAAAGGCTGCTTGCAGCAAGGCACGAGGGGTGGGTGAGATAGGAGGATGGCAAGTGGGCGTCCTTCACCGTTGTCGCCTCTTCTTGTTTGAGGCGGGTTCGAGCGCCGGGAGTCGAGGAGTTGAGGTCTGAGAAGCCTCCGCTCCTTGATACTCTTGAGACAGCAGCTTTCCTGGCAAACTCAAGGACACATGATTAGCTAAACTTTAGTGTGCCTCCAACTCCAGGCCACCCGGGCTTGTAACAATGTGTAACTCCCATTTAGCTGTAAAGCTCAAAGAGTCCAAGTTTAAAGAAACAAGTACTTACATATGAGTGGAGCTAGAGAAGCAGCAAAGGGGGTGGGGGGTTTTAGTTTTCACCCCATATACGCTGGGTTCATTGTGGGGAACTGATATCAGTGCTGACGTTAAGAGCCTGTAACAGTCCTGCTCCCAACTGCCTATAAATTCTTCAAACTGCCAGCACTGGGCAGCTGAACCTACAACTATGGCTTAGAACTATAGGGTCAGCAATGCAACATGGGGCCACTGAGCTCACAGCACGAGCTCCCCAGCAAGCTGCACCCACAGTGCCTGTCACCACAAGGCGGCAGAGCCGGTAAGCAAGTCAGAGCAGAAGACAGACCCATGGGTGGGGTCATGTCTGGACATGCTGCGCAGGGTGCCAACTCTTATGGTCACCTGCAGAGGGGTGGTTCCTTTGTTGACACTGATGCCAGGGTGGCACACACACACACAGACAGGATAGGAAAAGGCTCAGGACTCACATAATACAGGTCTGAGGGGAGGGCAGGGGCAGTTTCTCAAGCAGCTCTGACAGGGCTCAGAAAGCAAGGAATGGAGCCCGGACTGGGGGTTCACTGGGCCTGGGGGTGGGGCCGGGGCAAGAGCTCTGCACACAGGCAGGGGCTGGGGTGGTCGGAATCTCCTGCCTGCTCTAGAGGAGAGAGCACCCAGGCTTCCTCCTCAGCTTGTCCAGGTCAGGGCACAAGTGGAAGAGGGTGGGTGGGGCTTCAGCTGTGAGCAGTCACCCAAAATGTAGAGTCTGACTGCTCATTACAAGGACAAATGTGGTTAACAAAAATATGCATTCCCATTGACCTATCTAAAGAAACACTGACAGCAGTCTCAAGAAATGACCAAGGGCCGGCCCCGTGGTCGAGTGCTTAAGTTCGTGCACTCTGCTTTGGCGGCCCAGGGTTTCGCTGGTTCCGATCCTGGGCACAGACATGGGACCACTCATCAAGCCATGCTGAGGCGGCATCCCACATGCCACAACTAGAAGGACCCACAACTAAAAATACACAACATGTACTGGGGGCGTTGGGGAGAAAAAGGAAAAATAAAATCTTTAAAAAAAAAAAAAGAAATGATCAGAACTATATTGGGGGTGGCTAGATTAACAGCACTGGAGGGGACAAGGCTATATTGGCAGTGAGTCTTCTAGAGTTCGACTTTGCTATCTTATAGATTCATTTCAACTAAACAAATGTATGTATATGTAGGGGAGGAAGACATTTCCACTACCCACTCTAGGTCCTTCTGCCTGGACAATGAATTAAGTTCACATGAGACAGAATAATAGGAGAAAATCAAAGAAAGCTTTATAACATGTATACACGGGAGAGACCCAGAAAAACTGAGTAACTCACCAAAATGGCAGAGGTTCTCACCTTCAATACCCTCCTCAGCTGAAGACAAAGGAGGATGCTGGGGGTGGGGGAAGTCAGTTATGGGAGGTTCCCAGAAAAGCACAGGAACCAAGAGTAAGGTCATTATGCAGATTTCAGTCCTTGCCTTCTACACTGAGAAGAGTTTCTAGAGAGAAGGTCATCCCCCTTTCTTCCTGGTACAGAGAGGGAGACACCTTTACAGATGGAGATTTCCTTTACAAATGGACTTGTCTCTTACAAAGGCTAAATTCTACTTTTCAGAGTTTCTGAAAAGTAACTCTGATGTGACAGCATTTGTATGTTCTGAAATGTGAGTGACCATAATTATGACTGGTGCCTGGAGAATGTCCCTCCAAATTGGTGCTCTCCGAATACCAAGGCCTTGAATGTGAAAATTGTCCCACTCCCATTGGCCCAACCAAACCACTAGCCTGTTAGCAACTGCCCATGAGTCAGTAAAAATGTGGACAAGAGGCTTGTCATGGGCAACGGGACTCTGCACAGCCATTTGTACTGCCACCAGCTCAGCAAGCTGAGCCAACCGACTTGCCATCTTTGATGAGTGGCACCACTGGCAGGAAGGCACACTCTGCTCTCCATCAGGCTCCACCATGTCCAGTGGTGGCATTGCTGTCTGTGAAGTACACGGACTCTTAGTAGCTCCATCAGCTCTTCCCAGGGTCCACCCAGGCTACCAGAGGCTTAGGCAATGGGGGTACCGTCACCAGTTCCTCAAGGTCCATGGGGTGAGGCTCAGGGAAGTCACATCCTCCTGTAATTTAGAAAGATCTGCCATGTCAGGAGTAGCCCATTCCTGAAGGTACCATTTCCAGTTTAGCAAAGAGGCATTGGTGGCCATGCTGAGCCACTGTTGGGAGGCATCCCTTATCCATGATGTGACAGGAATGTGGGCATGCAGAGACCAGGCCCCTGTCCTGTGAAGGCCTCTGTTTCTAACAAAGCCCAAGGAGTGGCCAGGATTTGATATTCAAAGGGGTATAGCAGGCAGCTGGGGGAGGCAGCCCTCTGTTCCAGAAGCCCATAGGCAACCAGGAGGAGGCATGTTTAGTCCAAGGGTCCAGGACGCATAGTCCATGGTGGCCAGGGCCTCCATCTGGAGGAGGAGCCAACAGCCCGCAAGGGGAGAGCTTGATGAACTGACCTTTACACCAGCTGTGAGTCTTGCTGTTGAGATTCTCCCTGATGAATTGTGGGGGACTGTGTGACTGTGTGAATGAGTCTGAGAGTGATGGCTAAGTGCTGTGTGTGTTCCTCCAAAATGTGAAGAGACCTAAGATGTGTTGGGCTTGTAGCTTGATGGGAGGCTGAATAGTTGAGAATTGATGTTCATTTGCAAGTGAAATTTCCCAGCCTTGAGAGGACCCATGAAGTCCCAGAAATTTAACAGTTGTGGCTGCCTTTGAATTTTAAGTGGGGCCATAGCTCATCCTCTACATTGTAGGTGGGTCACCAGCTATGCTAGGCTCTCATGCACCACATCCTCTGAAGGGCCCTGACTTACAATGTCATCAATATAGTGTCTGACAGTGGGAGGGGACACTGTAAGGGCATCCAGGTTTTGCCAGCAAAGATTGTGGGCAATAGCCTGGCTGTTAAGATCACCCATAGGCAGCCGGGTAAAGGTATGTTGGGTCCCTTCAAATGTGCAAACAATTTGACTGGGACTCCTTGGTGATCGATACTGAAGAGAACACATTAGCTAGATTGATCATGGCACAGTAGTCCCCTGGAGCCCTTTGGCTGTCTTCTACTAATTGGACAATGTAGGGAATGGGAGCCTTAATACGGGGCACCTGAGCATTTAAATTTCCATCGTGGACTGTGAGGCCCCACTCCACAGTAGCAGGCTTCTAGCCCAGCCAAATGGGAGAATTGAAAGGAGACGCAGTGTTTCATAAATCTTGAATTGTGGGCCGTAATTCCTCAGTCCCCTATTGGAAATGATACTGGGGGTATTTACTGTCCTTAATCAGGAATGGTAGTTTACTGGCTCCCAATGGGCAGCTCCCACCAGGAAGGCCAGGAATGTGGGTTTGTTCCAGATGGTTTGGTGGCACCTTGAGGCGTCCATACTATAACAAGAAAGGGTATGGCCAGAGAGGTCGCCACCACTAAAAGATTTTTTTTCTTTTTTAGGAAGATTAGCCCTGAGCTAACATCTGTGCCCATCTTCCTCCACTTTTTTTTAATATATGTGGGACGCCAACCACTGCATGACTTGCCAAGCAGTGCCATGTCTGCACTCAGGATCTGAACCCGCGAACCCTGGGCCACTGAAGCAGAATGTGCGAACCTAACCGCTGTGCCACTGGGCCGACCCCAAAGGTTTTTCATGCAGATTGTTTGGACAGTAACATCCAATGGAAGTTGAATGCCGTCTCCTGTCCCACCTGTTACCCCTGGTAATTAAAAGGGCGCCCCTGGCTTAGGTTTGGAGGGGTTCCCAGGAAGCACTGTAACTGGCACTCCAGGGTCAATGAGAGCAGTACAAGGTTGTTTCTTACGTGTGTCCCAATAGATAATTAAAGAAGTCTGCGGGTGATTGTCCCGCAGGTGAGAGACACTCTCTGGGGAATGGCCAGGTTCCTAGCACAGGGGCCTCGATTGCTGCCACTGTCAGAGATCAGGGGACGGATCCCGGATCCTGCTGCCAGGGCTGGGGCATTCTGAGAGTTGACGGCATCTATCCTTGGGTTGGGGGGTCGGCAGTATCTTGCAGAGCCCGCAGTGCCTGAGCAAATGCTTCTAACTCGTGGCCGGGCTGTCCTGAAATTAGGTCATTCGGGACCCATGATCTCCATAGCTGCCAGTGCAGGGAGACCTGGTGGTCATCTCATGAGACAGATGGGACAAGGTGCCACCCCTCTGTGGTACCAATAAGGAGTCTGGAAGCCCCCATATTCCCCAGGGACCCTCTGTGGTGTTTCTGGGGAGGGGGCAGTGGGGCCCATTCACCTTTACTGGCAAACAAGATCTGGAAAGTTCTCTGTTCTGTGTCCAGCTACAGCATCGATGCAGTCTACTGCCTGTTGTACTGTAGCTGTCATTTCTATGAATTGTGACAGCATGGCCTTAAGAATAGCAGACCCCCTTTAAGAAGTACTCCTGAGATGCTGGCCTCAAGGGTGTCTCCTCTGGGGTGGAAATGGTCAGGGGCTCTGTGGGGGCCTGGCTCTCAACAGAACGATACACCCATTGAACCATCCAATTTGATGTAACAGGAGGTGCGTGTCAGGCAGGGTGTTCCATGCACAGTGAGCCTTCGCTGTGACAACCGTGATGGAAGGCTGGGCTTGGCGCCAAGCCATAAAAGTCCAAGTCAGGAGAGCCACCGTGTCTCCCCCTCATCCCTGTGGGCTCCAGAGCTTGGGGGGTCTCTTCTGCAGAGTCCATTTCCTCCTTTCTTTTGTCTGCATCTTCTGCCCTGGTGGCTCACGTCTTTTGGGAGTGTCCTCGCTGTGCTGACAAGTTCGTGGTGTCCCCTAGGGTATCTGTAATAAAACGGGTCCTCAATACCTTGAGGTTTTTTTTTTTTTTCTTAACAAATTGTGAATTCTGCGATCCTTGACCAGTCCAGCCAGCTGGCATGACTCAGTCTCAGTGAGCAACAGCTCGGAGCTGGCTCCAAAGACCTGTAAGAGCCAACAAGTGCCCCTCTACCCCTCCCTTTGGACAATTTTTTCTAAAAAACCTTGCACTTCTCTCAGGATAATTATTATAGTTACGTGTCTCTGTCTCTCATTTCTGCTGGATAGTGACGGGGAAGACCTGAGCATGTTGCCTCTTCCCGACTCACATGCTTCCGCCTCCCATTCTAGTGTGTCCGCGTCATCCCCCGGGGGCTGGAGCCCACCTCTACCAGTGCAGTTTAGCTGATGCACTCAGGAAAGCTCCCAAGCCCCGAGAACGGAGCAATGGTGATTTGGCCTTTTGACGCACCACCACACTCAGTGGAGCCCAGGCCATTGGAGCAGGGATCTTACAAGCATCTGGTAGTTTTCCAACCTCCTCTGGGGCCTTGGGAGGACCTGGTACCATGTGCTCAGGGGCTTTGCTTTTGGGGAGAATTCATTCTGCTGCACCATGTTAGGGGTAGGCCTCCTGATGTCCCCTGGGGTCAGGGATGATTTGTGACAGCCGAAGGAATGCAGCACCATAAGAAGCACTTGCCCCAGCAGCGTACACCCGGGAAGCCTACCAGGATACCCCTGGGAGAGTTCCCTCTGTTATGGTGTAGTTCTGGCTGGCCAAGCTCAACACCCTGATACTGACCACTGACACCGTGGACCCAGCAGCCGCCTCCCCTCCCAGCACCGATCTAGGTGAACTCTCCTCAGCTCCAGAACCTGATGGCCCTGGCCCCTGGTCCCTGCCTGGGGCAACGGGGCAGAGCCCTACCTTCCCAGTCAGCTCTCCTGGGCTCAAAGCCAGGGCTTCCTAATGTGATTACAACCCATCACCTCCAGCCCTGACACCCAGGAGGTCTCTCAGAAAGGAGTGGGAGACACACCCACCTCAGACTGAGGCCTGCAGGCCGGTCTCTGCAGGGCGCTCTGACCTACAGCACTGACACTGTAGGGCGGGAATCCGAGGCTTCACCCGGCAGCAGTTTATGCAGCAGTGGAAATCCCCACCGCAGATCCCAGCAAGCGGTAGTTCCTCCCAGAGAGACTGAGCGGTCCAGGAGAGGAGGTTAGTAAGTCCTTCACAGCTCCAAGGCATCGAGTGCATACAAGCAGCCCAAAGCCCCATCCCCATGGCCAATTGTGTGCAGGAGCTGGAGCTGGTGTACTGAATTGATAGGCAGATTATGACGTGGTGAATGACGGGGCACAGGCCACCCACACAGGGTCAGCAGGGAGCTCCCTCAGCATGCGAGCTCCCACTGTGGGGAAGTGAAACCCACAGGCTCATTTTGATTGAAGGGGCAGTTTCAATGCACCCACCGAAAGGGACAGAGTCACAGGATTTATTACTCACAGGTCACAGAAGCGGGGGCTGAGGGTGCAGTGAGCCGGGGGAAGGGTCGTCCTCTGTCCAGGTCAGGAGCGAGCAGGAGACAGAGAGCAGGGAGCAAGCACCCGGTACCTTGAAGTGCGTTGTGGCTGAGGTCACTAACTATTCCCGGGCTGAACTCTAAGTGCTTAATTTAAAAGGCGCCCTGGGAAAGTAAAGCGGGAACTTAGGGCAGAATCCTAAACTCAGGTCCTTTTCTAACTGTTCAGATTCTGGGTGTGAACAGGGGCCTCAGACTGTAACACTCTGAGGCAGCAACTCAGAACAAAAGTTGTTTCTCACCAGCCGCCATACAGAGTGAAACCTCTTCCCCAGCTCCTCAGGTGGGCCCTGCTCTGGGTGCGCCCACTGCTGTCCTGGGGGACAGTGGTATTGCCAGGGCTCTCTTCCTCCTTTAGGGGCCACACGCGGTGGTTCCATTCAGTTAACTGCTGCCTGATTGCTCTCCTGTTTTCATCAGGGTCCTGGGGGCATCATTGGCTCTACCAGTTAGTCCAATAACAGTCTGCTCCTTAGTAGAAACACTTCCTGAAGTCACTGTTGCATATTTGTTCCGACCCCTGCAAGCCCATTCCGAGCAGTCTAATTCTCTGGTTCTTTCCAGAAAACCAGTCAGCCCACAGTCTAACCTGTATCTTTATGAAATACACAAATCTACTCCTAGTTGCCTTTTACCTCAACTCCACTTCTTTGAGAGCGTCCTTTCACTTGCACTTTTCATGATCTCCTGCCAGCCATCTTAATACTTTGGAAAGGGATGAAGAGCTATGTGTTTGATGGCTTGCTTCACCCCCACATTCAGGAAAAATCTCTGTGCCAGGACCCTGGAGTTGTCTGGAGGACAACGGGAAGCCAGTTTCTGAGTGACAATCCCACTTCAGGAGTTGAGTGCTCAGGGGAGGGGAGAGACAGCAGCCAGAGTTCTTCTTCATTGTGTCTCCTGGCATCTCATGGATGACTTATGTTCCAGCCACCTCAGCAGCTGGGACAGGGTTACCGGTGCCCCAGGATTGTCAGGTCACCGCCCCATAGATGTCACCTCATTTCCATGTGGAGGGAGTGAAACGGTGTCCCAACTTTTCGAGCCAATTCGCCCCGCACTTGGTCACTTTCAGCAACAGGCCATGGGGGCAGGCTTTGACAATTTGAAGTCCTCTCCTTTCCAGGAGGAAAGCCCTCGGAGTGGCAGCTGGGGTGACAGGGCTTGAGTTTGTTTTTGCTTTATACTCCACATGAGGAAAACATACGGCATTTTTCTTTCTCCTTCGGACTTATTTCACTTAGCATAACACCCTCCACATCCATCCATGTTGTCACAAATGGCAAGATTTCATCTGTGACAACACTGACTCAGTAGTTGTTCAGCAGCCTGTTGTTTTCTCTCCACAGATTTGTGATTTCTCCAGCTTTCTTCCTGTAGTTGACCTCTGGTTTCATACCATTGTGGTCAGAACAGATTCTTGCTGTGATTTCAGTCTTCTTAAATTTGAGACTTGCTTTGTGTCCCAACACAAATGTTCTGCGTGCACTTTGAGGAGGATGGTATTCTGCTGCCTTTGGATGGAACGGTCTGTATATATCTAGGAAGTGTGTCTGTTAATGTGTTTCATTTAAGGCCAATGTTTGCTTGTTGACTTTCTGCCTGGGTGACCTACCCACTGATGTATGTGGGGAGTTAAAATCCCCTACTATCATCGCATTGCTGTCAATCTCTCCCTTGAGGTCTGCTAATGGGTGCTGTATATATTTGAGTGTTCCCGTGTTGGGTGCACATATATTATTAACTGTTATGTCTTCCTGATGGGTTAGCCCCTTTATCACTATATAACGTCCATCTCTGCTGTTACTGTTTTGGGGTTGGAGTCTATTTGTCTGATGTCAGCATGGCCACACCCCCTTTCTTTTGGCTGCCATTTGCCTGGAGGCTCCTCTTCTGCCCCTTCGTTTTGAGCCCGTGTTTGTCTTTAGAGCTCAGCTGAGTGTCCTGGAGGCAGTGGAGAGTTGGGTCATGTCTTTTACTCCATGCGGCCACTCTGGGCCTTTTGACTGGTGATTTCAATCCATTTACATTTAGGTTGATTACTGATCGGGGAGGAGTTACCAGTGCCATTCTGCCTTTTGTTTTCTAATTGGTCTATATCTCCATTTTTCCTTTTCCCTTGTGTTTCTGTCTGCCATTTTACTTTGCGGTTTCCAATGATGTTTTTCTCAGTTTCCTCTTTTTTAATGCTTGGTTCCTCTGCTCTAAATTTTTGTTTTGTGTTTACCATGAGATTTGTATAAAACGTCTCATAGATAAAATAGTCCTTTTTCTGCTGATACTTTAGCTTCATTTTCCTATACTGCTTCTAAGAATTCCCTACACTGAGCTCCTGTGCATTATGAGAAAGACATTTTCCATGAGTTACCTTCTGTTTCATCATTGCCATTTTGGGGGCAGGATTAATACTCTACCTTCAGAGAAGATGTCAGGACTATGTTGCCACATGCAATAAGTTCATACAAAAGTTTATTACTCCAAAATACTTTCTAAAGAGAATAGGCCAAGGGAAAGCTTTTTCATGTGGCTTGTGCAAAGGACCACAGGCTGGCTATTTAAGATGTGTAGGTTTAGAGGCTTCACATTTTAAAGGTCTGAGCCTCCCATCTGCAGACACAAAAAGCAAACGGGCACGTGTCACCCTTCATAACTTGTTTACCATCTTGATCCTGACAGGGTGAGCAGGCGTCTACAGCTGATTGAGAGTCAAATGTGGAAAATCAAGTCAGTGTCTTTATTAGTGTTCACTCCTGAGGTTGGTTGACTGAATCATGCCACTATTCAAATAAATTTGCTTTGAATACTACTTAAACAGCTATGTGAAAACTGCAAACATATTTAAGATGACAAAGCCCCAAAAACCATTTGAATCAAGTCATCCAAATGTGTGGAGGGATCCAGAAACGTGTAAGTATGTTTCCAGAACTCTGTTCAAATATTTAAGTGATATTATTTTAATCTGTTGTCTCATTTGTTGTGTTACTGGTGTCAGCTTCCTACCCACAAACCACAGGCAGGCCTATTAGAGGAAGAGAGCTCTCCCCAGATGGGTAATAAATACTTTAAAGCCAAATGGTCAGCAGCTACCATGGCTGCCAGGGAGTTTTCCTTCAGGGAAACATCTCAAACACTAGCTGTCTGCTACATGTATTTTGACTGTTTTGGACATTTCTTGATTGTCAGGAAAGATGTTTGTTGAATGACGTCATGTGTGCCCGGGTCAGTAGCAGTGACTCCCATGACAATGTGCACGTTAGTGTAAATGGTAGGAAAACAGAACATCGGTATGTGATGAGCCAGAGGGGTTTTGAAGGAGGTGCCCCAAATGAAGTATCGACACGCAGGGAACATAGACCACAGGCGATGTGAGGGGAAGACCTGGCAGCGGGATACGACAGTGGTGGCCAGGGTGCATTGTTACAATAAACCAGAGACCTGCAGGAGTGACAGTTCTGGCTGGAATGTCCAGCAGGGAAAGGCCTCTATTTATCAGTTGCCACTGAGCCGGACGATGACAACAAAGCAATGAGCCCCGAAGACTGGGATTGAGTCTAATCACTGCCTCCAACAGCAGGAAGGCCCACTGAGAAAAAAGCAAATTGGCCTGAGGAGGCCATTAGACCATCCTAGGAGGGGGGTAGCCTGCGGTGGTACAAGAGGGAAAATGTCCACTGAACAACATATTCGAGAGCCCCATGTTTCCTCTTTTCAGGATTGAGCTGATAATATCAATAAATTTAGAGCATCTTGGCAAGTCCTTGCATTTTGGCTTCAGCAGGGCAATGTATGACGGCATGAGTAATTTGTCCATATCAAGTTCTACCATGGTATGAGCACAGCAAGGAGCCCAAGGGGGGGGGGATGGGCCTACCAAGCCTATTTGCCATCAGCTGTAGGGACCCCTTCCTCACCCTGGAAGGTGTGTCCACTGATATCACCAGTGACTTGCTTTTTCACATCAGGTTCACTGGTCCATCACTGGGTTAACCATGGCAGAGGAGGGAAATCGCTTGAATTTGGCCTAGATTCTTAAGATAGAGGTCTGTAAGTGGTTTCACGTTATGTGGGACAACAAGGCCAAGGTTAATACCATCAGGTCTGAGGTGCTGATATGTGTCTCAGAAATTCAAGTCAGTTTATCACCCTGAGCAATACAAATCAGCCTCTGCAGATTGAGGTCTAATATGGGCAGAGTAAGGAGTGGCCAGACTTGTACTTGGATATTTGCGAGGCAAGATATTCCCAGAATTCTTTAAGACACAGTGGGCAACCTTGGATAAGGGGTTGGTGCTATTGGTGGGACCAACAGCTAGATTATCGGTAACGGCCCAGGATCTGTAAAAATGTACAGACGGGTTGGATTTTGGGCTAAGAAACTTTCTATTTCCTAACATGACTGCTGTTTGACTGATCACTCTGAGGCTTCAGTCCATTGTTTGATCAAGGATGGCCTGTCTCATGTAGTGACAGAAGGCAGCATCTCTGCAGTGGACTCTGTCGGGTGTGGTGGTGCACACTGTCCATAAAGTTTATGAACACCCTGGTCACCCATGTGCTCCTAAGTGACTCTCCAAATGGCCAGTGTGTCTAAAATGGAAATTATCTCCTCAGAATGGATCACATCAGACAAGAACAAAAACACTTCTCACTTGTTCATAGGATATTCCAGAGGAGCAATGTTTGGCTCCATGCTGTAAATACCCATCTCTTCAATGAGGAGGCTTCTGATTAGACAGCCTGGGATGTCCTGCATTCAGGACCCAAGGCAAAATGGGAAGCTGGCTTGGAGCATCATCCACTCAGGCCCTGGAAGGCACTCCATTTACATAAAGACTCCGTCAGTTGACAGCAGTGGCTTCTCTAATTGTGTGCAGCACCCAATGAAGACAATAGTTCTGTAACAAGAATGCCGTGGGTAATTTATGTCCACCACGGGGGTTTAGAGACTCTTGGTTGCTCAGTGAGAGGCTGCTAAGGCATCTTTGAGAAGGACTGTGGGGAGGGGACACTAATGGAATGTTGTATCAAAGATTCCAGAGCTTTCGTTTCCCAATTCAAAGTCAGTCCATTTTAAGTCTCCTGTGAATGAGTAAGCAAGCAGATCTGATAAATTTGAAATGGTTGTCACTGTGGCTGACAGAATCTGCCCATGACATGGTTTCTACCATTGCTTGTGTCACCCTCTCAGCTCACAGCCCCCTCCTTTTGCCTCAGAGAAAATGCACAGTGGGACACATGTGGATTTCTAAAGATGTTCCAAGTAAGCAGGCACAGAGTAGGCCTGGGTTGGGGAATGAGCAGCTGAAAATGGTCTGTGGATGGCAGTGAGATGTGATGCTGACACACATGAATGAGGATGTCCCCAGGCAGATTCTGTTTGAGATACACGTTTACGTTTCAGACCATGGTATTTCCAAAGACGTCTCCATGAACCTGACTTAAACTCAAAGACAGAGTCTGGAAGCCCTCTCACTTCACTCCTAGTTTTGAGTATGAGCTGAGAGCAGGCGCAACCCTAGAAGGTGTTTTTTGAAATTGAGACAGGGGTGTAAGAAAAGCCTGTTGAGGACTCAGTCCTTCTTCTCAGTCCTGCAATCTTCCTAAGAAGGATCCCACAGTGGTTGAAAATTTGAACACGTAAAAATCCAGGTACAGGAGACCTTGACATTCTTCCAGCATATGAAAGCAAGTACACTATTCACTTTCTAATAATTACCTATATAACATATATAAAATATACTTAAGTGCTCTCATGAGTTTTCAGAAATGTTAGGAATACTGCCATCAAAAGATCAAAAAATTCCATCACCTCAAAAGAACAATCCTATGGTGTCCATTTGAAAGAAACCCCTCCAATTCATAAGTTCATACTAAAAAAACAGGAAAACATTCTGTTCCCTTCGCTGTTTTAAACCTTGAAGCTGTTGTTCCTGTTTCACAATTTTCCACACCATATGCTGGACGTCTAAGCATACGGAAATGAAACCTGTGATCAGCTACCTGGGCTCCGGGGCTTTCTGGATCATTGAAATTAAAGACTTCCAGCCACTCCTGTGATGAAAAGTTGTTGAAAATTTCCCATTTCTCCTCTTACACTCAATTAGGATGTCACTCACAATGACACCCTCTCTCTCCAGCTCAGTCACTTATTCCTTGGCTGGTTGCCTCTAACCAGCCAGAGCTCTTTGTGGTGTTTCCACGGGGAGATCACAGTGGACTCACAGAGATGTCACTCTACTCACAGAATTCACACAGGATGAGCCAGAACAGTGCAGATGAAGGCTACTGTCTCTCTAAGTGGGAGGAACTCCATGGTTTACTGGGGTGCATGTCGCACACTCCAGTCTGTAGAGCAGCAAAACGAAAATGCCAAAAATGATAACATGTTAAATATTTAATGGTAATATAAAAATCCTCTCAAATGACATTAAAAACAAAAGACAATACAAACATCTGTGGCTTAGATCAATAGGAAGTCTCAAGTCCCAGATAACAATAATAATGACATCCTCGCTCACTCCTACACTCATAGAAAAGATATATACACACCTCAGCCTAATAGCTCAATGCTATTTTTTACTTTTCTTCAAAGGCTTTATTTCTATTATATAAAACAAAGCTTCACTGTGACCACTTCCGCTTTTCCACAAACATAGAAGCACCAGGACTGCCAGGACTTGTCTGTTTCATGCTCTGTATCCAGATCCTACTGTGTCTCAGCTCTGCTACAGTGTGTACACAGACTCCACACTGCATGGCTTGTGAGGGACGCTGAGACGGTACCAGGAACAGCAGAGTTTTGGAGAAGGAAAGGCTTCAGAGTGGGACAGCGGTCCTATTTTGTCGGCTGGGTTTGCATTGTCTCACAATTTACCTAAACTCAAAGGCCTCAGCTGAGTCTAAAGGACATAGTGAAAATATTATGTAGAATACTAAGGAGAGAATTTATGTATTTCAACGAGGTACTTCACAGTAAACAGGGTCTAATTCACCATAGGACATACATCGGTGTTTTGACTGTAAGTAGGAAAAGCAAAGATGTTCCAGTTGACCATGAGCTGGCTGCATCCACTGCAAGGCCAGGTCTTACCCTGCTGAAGAGAAAAGTGTCCGATGGCTTGTTCATTGAAAGTACAGTTTCCAAGACAAAACTAACAGTATTTTGTGACCATAGAGGTAAAAATGATAAAGGATAAAAGTCCAAATTCTAAAAATCATTCTTTTCCTTCTTCTTACTAAAATGACTGACTGGAACTTCTTAAAAATTAACTTACCTTCACTACATTGTTTTTCCGTTCTACAAAACAATGATTTGGTTCACGAAAAAAAGGTTTACAAAAGGTAGAATTAAGTTGACCTCCTCACACCAACGAATACAGAAAATAACCTGCCTCCTTGAATTGCAGTCAAATCCACAAACCCAGGTCAAAATCTTGTAAGAAGTCCTTTGAGCAACGTTACCGCTACACCTCAAGGTCCTTCAGGTCTGTGGTCATTCTTACTAGAATTCCTTACACCCCTCTCTGACTGCAAGTGTAATCCTGCAGGTCACTGGAAGAGGGCACTGAAAAAAAACATGATGGTTAATTTTTGGCTTAAAAATGCATGAGAAATTATTTTCATGTCAAAAATTGTAACTGTAAATGAATAAGAAATACACTTTGCCCAAGGGAGAAATCCCTGAATTGGTCTGCACATGATAAAATTGACTCACAATGTATAACGATTAAATGAAGAACCTTGCAAAGTATATCTGAAAATCCATAATCAAAAATGGATATTAATATAGTCTGTAAAAATGAAATCCACAGGGGCTGGCCCCGTGGCCGAGTGGTTAAGTTCGCGCGCTCTGCTGCAGGCGGCCCAGTGTTTCGTTGGTTCGAATCCTGGGCGCGGACATGGCACTGCTCATCAGACCACGCTGAGGCAGCATCCCACATGCCACAACTAGAAGGATCCACAACGAAGAATATACAACTGTGTACTGGGGGGCTTTGGGGAGAAATAGGAAAAAATAAAATCTTAAAAAAAAAAAATGAAATCCACAATAATATGTATTAACATAGGATGGACTGGAACAGTTGATAAAATATATCAATGAAACAACTACAGAAGTGTTCATTTCACAAACAAATGGACATAGTTTTATTGACATACAGTCAAATGTTACTGAGAACACATCAAGGGAATCCATTCAAGCTACAAGTAACAGGAAACACACAGTCTTCCCAGCACACGCAAGGTGATTGTTCTCACATGGAACAACTGGGTCAAGCCAGCCACTGCACAACGCAGCAGGGAAACAAACTCGCAGGTGCTTCTTTTTATGTCCCATTGTAGATGCCATGGTGAAGCAGGAAAATGTGCTCACTAGCACTATCAACAGCACAAGGTGTTTCCTATACACATCAGACCTTATTCCATTATCATCTAGAGAAAAGAGGAATCAGACAATATTCCCACCCACAAAGGTCTGAATTAGCTTCCTGGTGGACACAAGAGGCCTTACAGAAAGACCCTAACTCGAATGGATCTTTGATGTAAAACTGGTGGAAAATGCATCTCTAACAATATGGAAATCAACTAGCTATTGGTGGTTTTCAAGATACTCTCGACAAGAAGGGCAAAGAATCCAGAAAAAGGGACGGAAGGTGGTGTCCTTGAAGCTCCTATGGAACTGTCTCCCTCCCTGTGTGGTGGCTCGAAAATCTGCCTAAGGCCTTGTGTGCTTCTGCCTTCCGAATCTCATGTAAGTGAGGCCATTGGGCAATTCCAACACGGCACATAAAGGGGATGGATTCTTAAAGATCTAGCTCTTCAGATTACCCTCACTGACATGATGCAGTACAGGGGTGATGTGTCCAGCTCTAGATTTTGTTGCCCTGCCATAGGCCTCTACTTAATTCAAAGTCTATTCACCAAATGCCAGTCAGAAGGAAGGACAAACAGCAAAGGCCCAAATAGGAAAATAATTCACAGGAAGTACACTACTGGATAAACTTGCCATACATAATTTTTTCCAACTGTTTAATAGTACAGAAAATAAAAACAGGCTCCTCCACCCACCAACCCCAAAAAGGAGCTTTCTCTGAAACATGTACAATATGTACAATGGATGAGGCACATGCAGGAACTGTAAATACAAGGCCACTAAGAAAATCACAACAAATACAAACTGTCATGTTTCAATACCCCCTTAACAGAGAAAAATTAAAACATTATAAAAAAAAGTAAAGATAAAAAATTATTAACTGATTTAAGGGAAAAGCACTACCTATGAATCTTATTTGCTATTTATGAAGGATGACTAGCAGAATCATCACAATATTCATTTCTGAAGTAATTAATAGAAATCCACAGTCCAATGTTGCACTTTAAGAAAGAAGTTTGATAAATACAATCTACTTACTACTTTTATAACAATTCTTTCCTGCTGAAAGTTTTCTAGAAGCTCACATACAAATTAAATTCCATGCAGCTTTTTCATAGGACTTACCTTTACATTTCTTTTTGGTGGGAGTTTCACACAGAAAGATGTAGGCCAACTGAAGTCTTTCTCATGCTGTTTACATTCAAGACATTTTTATCAAGTGAGTCCTTTCATGCCTTCAGGAAGAACTGGGATGACAAAATCTGTTTATGTCTACATGGTTTATCCTCTCGTGTGCATTTGTGCATATCCTCAAAAGTCTGCATGAGAAATAAAGCCTATCTCACTTTCCTGACGTTCATGACGTTTTCTCTCCAGTATGAGTTCTTTCATGTTTTTCAAGAGAACTGGAAAAGGTGAATACTCTACTGCATGTTTTAAATTCATAGGGTTTCTCTCTTGTATGAATTCTTTCATGCCTTGAAAGAAAACTGTTATAACTGAAGGCTTTACCACAGATTTTACATTCAAAGGGTTTCTCTCCAGTGCAACTTCTTTCATGGACTCGATTACTGGAACAAATAAATACTTTACTGCATTTTTTACATTCATAGGGTTTCTCTCCATTATGAATTCTTTCATGTATTCGAAGATAACTGGAAGAAGCAAATGCTTTACCACATTTTTTACATTCGTAAGGTTTCCCTCCAGTGTGAGTTTTTCCATGTGTTGCGAGATAAATGGTAGAAATGAAGGCTTTACCACACATTTTACATTTAAAGGGCTTCTCTCCAGTGTGAGTTCTTTCATGTATTCAAAGATAACTGGACGAAGCGAATGCTTTACTGCACTTCTTACATCCATACGGTTTCTCTCCCGTATGAATTCTTTCATGTACTCGAAGATAACTGTAACAAGTGAATGCTTTACTGCATTGTTTACATTCATAGGGTTTCTCTCCAGTATGAGTTCTTTCATGTGATTGAACTAAAGTGAGGTAAGTGAAGGCTTTCCCACATTCCTTACATTGATATGGCTTCTCTCCATATTTTTGATACTCATATGTTTTATGTTCAGTGTGGCATCTAATGTGCATTTTCAGCAATGAATGATGCATGAAGACTCTTCCACATGCACTGCATCCCCATGGTTTAGCTCCTGTAGTTTTCTTGTTCAGACTGAGATTTGGAAGAAGGCTGACGTTTTCTCCACATTGACTACCCACTTCGCTTTCACAGAGTCTCCCTACCCTATGCTTTCTGTAAAAATGAGAAGCACATTGTTAGTCATTTCTCTATTGATGATTTTATATTTCTTATGTTTATTATGATTTATAGGGAATGTTTACGTTTTCTTCCTTCTGTGAATTCTCTGAAGTTAAATATACTGAATGTTCTGCAAGAGGACTTCCCCCTTGCTATTATCCAATCAGTGATATTCATAGATAGGGTTCATTAATACTATTTCTAAGTGAAATATTTTGCAAAAAGTGAACCTCTCCATCACATTTCACCAAGTATACTGGGTGAAAATTATCTAAGAATACCTAAATTTGAAGGAAGCGTTGTTTTCTGTTTTTTAAAAAAATTTCTTACCATACAAAGAATCTTACATGAAACAAAAATTTCTACTGTGTCACTCACCATAGTTTTGTCCCCTCGTCTTTGCACTAATCTTTAATATCATGATCTTCCCAAGTTATTCCTGAAATGCAGACCCAGAAAGTTTATTCCAAATATTAAAAATTATAGAAAAAGCTGTAGATTCTAAGTATTTGATAATCTATGGCCATGTCTACTTTATTTACTAACCTCCCCTTTCCACCTTCTACATCTCAGAACATTCTTTTTGTATTTTTTGAGGAAGATTAGCCCTGAGCTAACATCTGCCGTCAATGCTCCTCTTTTTACTGAGGAAGAGTGGCCCTGAGCTAACATCCATGCCCATCTCCCTCTACTTTATATGTGGGACGGCTACCACAGCATGGCTTGCCACACGGTGCCATGTCCACACCCAGGATCTGAACTGGCGAATCCCAGGCTGCCGAAGCGGAATGTGCGAACTTAACCACCTTGCCACCGGGCCAGCCCCTTAGAACACTCCTGATGGTCAAGCAGCACTTGTTCTTTCATTGAGGTAGTGAAGGAATGTCCTCGTTCTTACCTACTGAGGCCAGGTGCCTGAAGGTTTCCCACATCACATCTCTGTAGAGTTTCTTCCGTGAAGGATCCAGTAAAGCCCACTCCTCTGGGGTGAAGTTCACAACCACGTCCTTAATGACCACTGACTCCTAAAACACCACAATGTGTATAGGGCAGGATGCATAAGACTGACAGCACTGGGGATCTATATGCCAATTCTACGAAGGTAACATGGGATTCTATTATCTCCAACCATTCATTCTATGTTGTGATCAGCACAAACTCACTTTTTTCTGTACACAGTGCTCATCGATTTAACAATATTATGAACACATGGAAATATTTACACAGTTTTACTGTGATGACATTACATCCCGTTTCTCTCTAATAACAAGTTCCAGAATAGGTTGGGAAATGACAGAAGTGCTATACCAATGAAACAAATATTATCATTTGTGGACCAATCATCCCTCGTAAAAAAAGCTCTTTCATCTTCTTCCATATTACCCACTGGTTGCCGCGCTCCATGAGGCAGAGGGTGAAACCTACAGCATGTGCCAGTGAGTAGAAACATAGTGAACAACTGGAAGCTTTTTGGTCTGCTCCAATCATCAAACTGAGAGTTTAGGAGGCCTGTGAAAATCTAAATTTCACCAAGCCCAGCTGCCCACATTGTCCTAAAGGACTCCAGGCCATTACAGGTAATCAAATGCCGCTGGCTGAATGTAAATATTCTTGCGGTGAAACACTGTTTTTAACTTGTGAAATATTGATCATGGACTCAGTTCTACCTTTGTCATGCTGTATGCTTTGATGGGGCTGGAATTATTATGAACTGAGAGCTCAGGCACAAGGAAGAAGCTATGAAAATTTAGACCACAAGATCGCTAGACTCATGGGCCTCAAAGCTACTTCTGACCATTTTTAGAACACACTCTGAGACAATGTGTCATAAGAGCTCTTTCTGGTCACATGCAAACTGTACCCTGACCTTTGTTCACCTTGACAGGTAGGTTAGGAGCTGCAGATTGCGGCTGGCCCCGTGGCTGAGTGGTTAAGTTCATGCACTCCACTTAGGACACAGCACCGCTCATTAGGCGATGCTGAGGCAGTGTCCCACATAGCAAAACCAGAGGCACTCACAACTACAATATACAACTATGTACTGGGGGGTTGGGGGAGAAAAAGCAGAGGAAAAAAAAACAAGAAGATTGGCAACAGTTGTTAGCTCAGGTAGCAATCTTTTCTTTTTTTTAAAGATTTTACTTTTCCATTTTCTCTCCAAAGCCCCCCCGTACATAGTTGTGTATTTTTAGTTGTGGGTCCTTCCAGTTGTGACATGTGGGATGCCGCCCCAGCATGGCCTGATGAGTGGTGCCAAGTCTGCGCCCAGGATTTGAACCGGGGAGCCCTGGGCCGCCGAAGTGGAGCACGTGAACTTAACCACTCGGCCACGGGGTCGGCCCCTCAGGTAGCAATCTTTAAAGAACACAAAAAATAGAGAGCTGCAGATTGCAAGGGAGCTCCTTGCAGTCCACAATAGTTTGATGTTAAATTTGCCCATGATTATAAAATACATGAAGGATTTAACAGTGGTTTCCTCCAAAACAACATAAAATTTCCTTTCTCCCACTTCAAGAGGAAGTCTTTCCCGACCACCCACTCTAGATGATGCCCTGCTGACTTCTGATCCTGCACTTAAGGAGCTTAGAAGCTGTCGTTCTTGATCTCATAAGAAGAAAATGAACAAACTTGACATGAACAACCCTTCTTAGATCCAGGAGAGCCTTGAGGTCATCAGACAAACTAGTGTCTGCAAAGTTGGGAAAGACAAAAAAAGAGATGGCATTTTGAAATATGTCCCGCATGTTCTGTTCTTAATAAGGCCTGTACTAAAAAAGAAACTATTTCCCCAGAATCTAATGCAAGGGCAAAAATAAAAAAGACAGCACCCAATTTCCATGAAGCCTAGGACAGCCTCTTTAACGGAAGGTTTAAAAACCACATAATGGGAAAACATGAAGCAAAAGAAGGGAAGAGAGAGACAGAGGAAAATCTGAAGTAGTAATGACCAAAATAACATAAAATTAATGATAGCCAGCACACCGTCCATCCAGGAAGCTCACAGAACACTAACTACAATAAAGTACAAAGTGCACAACTAAGGGTATCACGCTGAAACTAGAGACACATCACAGACAGAGAATGTCCTGAAAAATGCCACAGAAGAAACACACCTTCAACAGAAAGAAACAAAATTTGACTTAAATTGCACTTCTTCTGAAAACCCATGCAATAAGAACAGAGGAGACTGAAAGATTTGAAGTGTTGAATATGAAACCCACTTTCCCAGAATTCGGTCAAGCAAAATTATCCTTCAGGACAAGGAAGAAATAAAGACTTTCTGAGACACAATTTGAGGAAATTCATCCCGAGTACACATACTTTGAAGGAACTCGTTCGGAAGTTTACCAGAAAGAATGTAAATGATAAAAGCAGGGGATTAGAAGGAGGAAAAAGGAGGGGAAACATCTTTTATGTTTCTTATAATTAATACAACAGATGACACTTTGTTTAAACTAATGTTAGCAACAACGTTATTTGGTAATGAGAAGCTTATGGACAAGTGAAATAGATCACAGCAATGTGACAAGACACAGGGAAAGGAAAATTGGGGACAGTGTGTTAAGGGGTACTTGGACACAGTGAAGTGGCATAGTGTTACTTGGCAGAGGGGTGGGTTAGTTGTAAATGTATGCTGAAAATTCAAGGGCAGCCACTAAAGTGTGTTTTTTAAAAAGCGTGTAACTGATATTCTAAGAGAGGGGAAAAAAAGAATTACAATAAATGCTCAATTTTAGCCAGAGAAGGTAGCAAAAAGACAAAAACAAACAAGGGAAAAAATGCAGAAAGTACAAATTTTCGTAAATATCAATCCAACTGAATCAACAACCACACTTTAATCATCAATTGTGTCATTGTAACTGAAAGAGACAGCAACAGATTTGAAAAAAATACCATTATAGGGGACGGTCACGTGGCCGAATGGTTAAGTTCGTGCACTCTGCTTCAGTGGCCTGGGGTTCCGATCCTGGGCACGGAAATGGCACCACACATCAGGCCATGTTGAGGCGGCGTCCCATGTACCACAACTAGAAGGACCACAACTAAAATATACAACTATATACTGGGGGGATTTGGGGAGAAAAAGCAGGAAAAAAGAAAAAAAGATTGGCAACGGTTGTTAGCTCAGGTGCCATCTTTAAAAAAAACAACAAAAACCATTATATGTTGTCTACAAGAAACCCACTCTAGGTATAAAGTCAGACAGACGAAGGGTAAAAGGATGGAGAAAAACAGACCATGCCAACACGAATCCAAAGGAAGCTGCCAAAGGAATAGACATTATAGACAATGCGGATTTCAAACTGAGGAAGATGCAGAGATAGAGGGGCAGTAGGTACTGATAAAGGGGCCTATTCTCTGAGAAGGCACAGCAACGCTGCATGTGTACCTGCCTAACAACAGAGGGGCAACACACCTCAGGGAGGAACTGACCGAATGCAGGAGAAAGAGACAAATCCAGTACCACAGCTGTAGAAGTCAACACCCCCTCATCCGGAATTAGACATTTCAGTAGGCAGGAAGTGAGGAAGGACAGACGT